ATCCACAGATCGGCCTTACGGTGACAGCCACCTTTTTTATAAATTTAGCTCGAATGTTTGAATGGACGGGTTGACAGAGCCGGAGCCCACGCTAAGCAGAGCTTGTTGCGTAGACCCCGACCCCTACCATCCGATTGCGCAATTCCGGGTAACGGGAGAATTTAGATGCCAAAGTTTAACGTGCCCTTCAAAGCCGGACACGGCCTGTCCCACTCAACTGACTTCAACTGGCTGCGGCTGCTCTCACCAACCGCAGACCATCCCCGTCAGGAGTCTCAAATATCGAGCGCCGGAGTGTCTCGAACCCGGGCTCTCACTACCGGGAGTCCAATGCTCTACCAACTGAGCTACGGAACAGGCATGACGCACCCTTAGACAGCAGTAACGCACCCTTGGAAGCGTTACTGCTGTCTGAAATAGTAACTCAAACTCATATAAGACACACAAGAATTGGTTGTTAGTTTGTCACAGATCAGACTGTTTGTTGCGGACAATATGCATACAAAGCATGACAAATTCACGTTTATTTCGAAACATCCAGTGAAGTCAAACGTGAGGTTAAAAAACAGACGACGTTTGCGGCCTAACTAAAGCTCTTCTCCGAGCTGAGTGAATCATCATTGCGGCTTTATCCATTTTGCCACCCCTTGGCGTAGCACCGCCGAGCATGGCGGTGTTACCCCACTCACAGTCATGGACCGACAACGCCCCGACAGCAAAACAAGCCGGGACGCGATTCTTCTGTAATTCCTTTCTCAACAAAGAGCACTTCATGCCCTCAGATTTAACGTAAAAATCAAGGCATTTTGACTTGAAATGACCACTTACTTGCTGCTCAAACATGCCAAATGATTACAACGATGGTATGAAATTCACAAAATGGGCAATTGCGATCTCAAAATCAAATAAATCTTAGCGAAACCTACCTCACGCGGCGTCCCGTTTCCGTTCGGACACCGAAATGGCGGGTGTTTACATTTACAATTCAGAGTTTTGCCGATAGAGAGGATGGCGGTGTTTCCCACATGGCGGTGCTACCCCCGCTTCCCCTACACTCAGGGTTACTTTTAAAGGGGGGGAAGAGGGGAATTTCCCCCCTTCGAAAATTCCGCTCCCCCTTTCAAATCGTGTCTGAACGGCTAGGGAGGGAAGGGGGAATTTCCCCCTTTCAAATTTATTTTGGAGCCCATTTTCAATCAATTCGCTATTCAGATTCTATAGTCATCGTTAATCAGATTCTCGTCATCAATCAACGTTGCTGGCGTTAAGATAATTATTAATTTTCAATTTTCGGTTCCATCCAACCATTTTACGTTCAGTGCAGCAGGAACTCCAGATTTGACCCGATACCGATCGGATAGTCGGTGGGACCGTCTCTTGTCTTGTCTCTTCCGTCTTTTCGCAATCACTGACATATCGGTACAGGCGTCGGCATAGAAACCGGCGGGGGACGGGATTACCTCTCCGAACCAAGGGTGGATACAGGGGGAGGGGGGCAATGGGCCATGGCCCCTCCTTTGACGCAAAAAGAAGGTGACCCCCTTTTGGACCCCCTTTTATATTCTGTGTTCTTTCTCAGAAACGACCCATTTATTCACGATTATTTTCACTTTTTCATCGACGCCAAGGCCAGACATCTAAAATTTTTGTCCCAATATGACAATGGCCGTGTTTATGGCCATCCTCCAAACCGGAATCATTGAAGGAAAAACAACGTTATTTTTGTCCCATAGGCATCAAAGCTTTGAGTAATAAATGACTTTTCTCTTTATGCAGCATTCACGTTCATCTGCTTTGCATGCAGAGCAGGGCGCAAAAAAAATGTACCTCATCACAGCCGGCTTTCCCAATGGAACTTTCACTGCTCACTAATACTAATAGTAATAATTCAAGTTTTGTGCTTCATTAGTTTTTGTTCGGATATCACTGCCCACCTTGTAGTTGTAGAGGTTGCAGTTTTGTAGCGCCGTCGTTTCTCTACATACACGACCACACAAAGAACTTTGGAATTGCTCGTTAACTGTAGCTTTTGTGAGCGTTTAAGAATTTTCATGTTTTTTGCTCATTTTTGCTCGAACAGTTTGACATCAATTACTCCTGACCTAAGGTGACCTAAGACTTGAAATTTTGTGCGAAGGTTTCAAATTGATGCCCGGTAAGGTACTAAAAATTTGGCGGCGCTGCGCGCCGCCGTTTTTCGCTTTTCAAGAAAACCCACATGGGGGCCAAAATGACCTCCAATCAGGGCGCGGATTAACCTCTCTCTTTAGACAGGCGTTACTTAAAGGAAATAGTTCACTTTTTAACATGGGTTTTGAACTGGAATAGCAGTTCCGTAGCTTGGGCTGAGACGAGCATAAATCAGGAGCTTTTACAGCCCAACGATCACCCTAGGCAAAGATATTCTATTTCTCGTCCCGAAAAAGGTGTCTTGCGTTGAGGATGTGTGCCTTGCATATATTTCCATCCAGTATGAAAAGAGCATGGGTCCCGAAAATTCTTCAGAAACTAGAGAAATTATATACGAGAACTCTAGAGAAATTCTCGTACTGATCAATTAGGACATTCAGGGGAACATTATCAGATCGAGCAGATCGCCCAAATGCCGGTGGCTGCGATAATTTCTCTGTTTCTGAAGAATTTTCGGGACCCATGCTCTTTTCATACTGGATCGCGTGTGCCTTACAGAAACTGAAAAGTTCTTCCTATATCAAAATATAGAAAATAATCTTTTGTTATAAAAAGGTTTTATTTTCTTTGCTGATTATTTTGAACATAAAAAATCATAAATCTGTTGCAAAAAAAATAATTTCGTGAAAGTGAACTATTTCCTTTAATGTTTGGCCGGGGTATACCTACTAGTTATTGATACCACTGATAGGTTGATACTACTGATTGGCATTTGCAAGGGCGCAGTCAAGTTGGGACCTCCCCCGCCCCTTACAGCCAAGGTAGGTGCGTATATTTTTAAGCAAAATTATTTTTTGGCAACCTTCCAAAATAAAGTGGCTGAAACCCGAGGAAAGAATAGGATTTGGGGGTAGGTAAGGTTCTGCGGGCTCCATCCTAACGAAAAACCTAATGGTATTGCCGCCCACCCCCCTTTCAGATGCCCCTGGATCCGCCTTTGCCCCGAACTTTATTCCCCCTCTCAACTTTTCCTGTAAAAGTAACCCTGCCTACACTGTAGGTACGATCTGTATCCCATACGATCATTTTCACTGACGATCTTTTGCGCTTACGATCTTTTGTCCTTATGAGCATTATATCGTACGATCTATACATACATACAATACACACCACGCATAGACATGATGTCGGAAATGATGTAACGTCACGGATGCTGGCACGGCGGAAAAGAGAGCGAAACAAAGAAACACGAAGCGATGGGAAAAGAGAGAAAGAGAGCATCGGTGGGGAAGAGGAATGGACAGAGGGAGCTAGAGAGCCAGCTGAACCCCTGACTATTCCCCCCTCCCGTTGCCGACATTCGGCGCCGGTTGGGTGAGCGGTTATCCTTAGCCCGGCCGGGCCTGGGGGGTAATCCTAACCACCGCAGCCGGGGGAGGGGATGGGGGGTCTGTCAAACTCCGTAAATAAGGGAGCTACGGAAACAAAAGCAATACCAAACAAAAGGTCCTTACAAGACGATTCTAAAGCACCTAAAATTCTTGACCTCAGGTCAATTTTCAAGGTCAGAGGTCAAGGTCAAAGCCCAAAGGCAAAACCGGCAGTCGGCACATGTGTAGTGATCTCAAAGTAAGCGTTCTAGAGGACGGTAGGATGCAAAAAAAAAACGGCAAAATTGGGTGTCAAACGGAAGAAGAGAATATGGGGATTCCTAAAATGTGCTTGAAATCAAAAGTCAAGGTCAAAGTCATGCTCAAAATTGACCTCAAACTTTGCACTTTTTCGTACATCTTGCGTGCAAATTTCCAAGATGTATTGAAATGTTTTGAGGCTTATCAAATCCCTATTCGTGGTTCATCTTACGATATAAGGCTGGTCAAAGGTCAAGGTCACAGAAGAGTATCCTTGCTAGAGGCTATTTCACTTATTCAAGTTAGTAACAATAAATAAGACAACTTTGCCATCCGGAGGCTCTAAATGAAGGATTAGAGGAAAATAGGTGCCAGATTCGTGATCAGCGGGTACGAATCCATGACAAAACGAAGTTTCGTGTGTTAAGGTCAACCAAAGGTCATTCAAGGTCACATGAGGTCAACATAAAACTTGACCTTTTCCGAACAAAATATATATCATTCGACGCAGCGTGACAAGGCGAATGCGTTGGTTACCACTGCCGTAGCTCTACAACCATTTTTGTCGAAGTTATTTGGAAAAAAAAAACTAAAACCATAGCTCGGGGTCGTTGACGTGACCTCTAACTTTAGGTCACCAAAACATTTCTTTTATTTTTTCTAGGTCAAACGCTACACAACCTTGCTCGTAATTTGTCTTTGTCTCTAAAACTCTATTTTTAGCAGCTGTTTGAAGTTTTTGTCTGTAAAGCCGAAGTTTTCTGTGCAGGGGTCTAGAAAAATCGCCCTGTGACGTCATCAAGGGGACTATGTCCTAACTGTTTAATTCAGAAGATGACAAATTGATAGGAGAAAAGGTACTGAAAGTTTCGCCTTCCTATCCTTAAGCGCTCGGGAGCTATCGCAAATATTCGCCAGGGGGAGCAAAAAACGTCCCCCGGGCCCGCGAGGGTTAACGACTAGTGAGGGGCCTAATTGTGGGGATAACATGCACCTGTGTGCACTGTGCAAGCTGGCTGCTGCTTCATTTTACTTTCGCGTGGTAATCTAGATTATAGACTGAAGACATCGGCATCAAAAATCGGTAGCACAGCATTATACCATTTTGGTACATCAATTATGGTTCCTGTATTAAGTAATTTTTTTGATGTTTCACTGTTAACTTGGGTTTGGCTGCTAAACAGCGCAGAAGTTACTTATGTGACAGCTACTTGCATGTTCCATCGCAGGGTAATAAATATATTTCTTGGACCACTAAATCAGCATCGAAAGCTCGTCGAATAAACCCTTGTAAACACGTCAAATGCACAGTGCACCGATACAGTCTTCGCGATAAGGGATATACAATATACATGAAACTTGTGAGAACAATAAGCAAATCCACACCGCACATTTATTGAAGGAACTCGGGAGTGTATTTCATCAGCAAGTCCTAGAAGGCACCATACGCTGTCGACGGTGTTGATGCTATTCTGCTCCCCTCCTGGTGCCGAAATCCACTACCGACGCCCTGCTGGTTGTAGTTTGTACTCTGCTGACCAAAGGTACTGCTGGCACCCTGACTAAAACCTCCTCCAAGAGCCTGGCTGAAGCCGCTGCCGCCCTGGCTGAAGCCACCGCCGCCCCCCTGGCCGGCTCCGGCCGGCGGGTACTGGGCCTCACCCTCGTAGGTGACGGTCGCCTGGAAGCCGCTGTCTCCCTCCACCGTGTAGGTGACGATCTGGACGCGGCCGTCGGGCAGGTTGACCCGGTACTGACCCGACGTCAGCACGCCGTCCGACTCCTCCTGGTGGTCAAAGTCGTTGCCGTAATCGGGCTCCCGGACGGCCCAGTCGAAGTTGTACGGCATGCCCTGGCCGTCGAACGAATTCGCCGGGCCTGCTCCTGCGCTAGAAGAAACGAACCGACCTCCGTTGTTGCCTCCAAACCCAGCGGCGCCGCCCTGACCGAAGCCTCCCCCGTTGTTCTGGGGGAAGTTGGTAGCGCTGCCGAAGCCTTGCGCGGCGGCGGCGCTCTCCAGAGGAGCTCCATAGCTCTGAGTGCCGGAGGAGACGGGCGGAGCGCCGTACTGGGGCGAACAGGACGCGGCCGCCACCGCCGCCGCCGCCACCAGCAGTCGCCCACACGCAGACATGGCTCCTCAGAGGTGGACACGGCGCCGAAGCGATCCCGACACTACCACTGACTGACTGGCGTACTGACACCTTTATACGGTCGGGCCGGCGCCGCCCGGTCACACCCGTGGTCAGGGGGCGTGGGACGGTGGGGCGCTACGCAACGTGAGGGGAGGCGACGCAACATGTCAGCAGCATCAGCAACAGGGCACCACATTGTGGCCAGAAATAATTACACCGAGAGAAAACGGAGAGTGAGAGACAGATGTAACAGCTGGAAGCTGTAACATTTTTTTCCGTACATCAAAAAAAGACATCTCTCACACTCTATACGTAAGGACGATCGCACTGTCTGCCGCGGCGCTGAGCCGGCGTGGGGAGGGAGTCCACCAAACGATCCCCGACTCGTCGGCCGGTCACCATTAAGCGAAGATCAAAGGCTCGCCGAAGGGTGGAGTACAAACACACCCATCCGGGCCGGTGCAGTGGCCGCCGACAAACGCAACGCAGCCGGAAACACCTGCTGCCGGTGCTGGACCAGCCTCCCGACGCCTGGCGCCACGCACATCCTGCCGACGCAGCTGACAGGAAGGTGGGAGGATGTCGTTGCGGTCAGCCGTCCGGCACAGGCAGGGACCGACATCCGGCGAAAATCGAGTGTGAAAACGTCATCCGGCAGGAGACAGCTGAGACGGATGAGCCGAGCAAGTGAGGATGACGTCACGTTCCGGCGGAATGGAGGAGGAGGGCGACGGTCTCGACTCCGGATGCGAGACGGGATGTCGCCAATTTTCTGCCCCGGTCAGCGAGGCCCGGCGACGCCCGGAACCTCCGGCCCGGAAATCACAGGAGAACAAAAACTCAATGCAGAAGGAGAAGGGGATTCAGACAGACCCGAGACCGACCACCGGTGGCCGACCACCAGAGACAGAACGCCTCGGGACTCGGCGCGGGACACCGCCCCGCCCGGCTTCGGCCGGAGCGGCCTCTCTGCTGATCGGATCATCACTGCACCGGACCTCAGCTGGAGTGGACAGCAATCATCAAACACTGTCAAGTGAGTCATCTCATCTGTCCGCCTCATCAAGACTGCCTCCCCGTCATGGACAATTCACCTCCCATTTACCCGTCGGATGTCTCTGATCTGGATTACAAATGCCACTCCCTGGGGTCTAACCTGAGCCACCATTAGAGGGTAATGGATTTAACATCGTGGGAGTGTTATTCGGCAGGGAAGGGAGGGCAGATGGTCGCTACATTCCGCTCCCGACCGAGCAGCGCGGCAGTGGTGCGTCTGTTTGTAAAGGCGGGAAGGGGCTAATGGGCCTGACTGGTCCGGCCTTGTCTATGGGATAGACAGAGGGGTTAGAGGGACAGCCGGGGCGGGTCAGTAATGGTCAGTGTAGGCTAATGGCTCACCATTACATTGGTATTGGGGTAGCGCTATCTGTCGGTCATCGCGCGCGCGGTCCGGCCGCAGTGAGGTGTGGGATTCAAATGTATGAGAGGGGAGTGGAACAGGTCAGGTGGTGTCATTTTTAGGGCGCTGGTCACCACTGACGCGTCAAACTACGTCAGATGACGTCATGACAGTTCAATTGGCGATGTTTTGTAAATAATCTTTTTGCGGTTAGGGCGTTAGGATTAGGTTTAAGGCTAAGTTTGTATCGAGAATGGCGAGTTGACTATATCGATCGCAATGCACCGGTTATGGCTTGAGCTTGAGCATTACTGTATCGCCCGTTTGTAAATATAGCGTGAAAATTTAACAATCTGTCTGGGAAAAGAAAGGGAGGGTTACTCCAGATATGTTGCTGATTCAGATTCACAGAGACCGCTAACGTAATTATCATTGAGTCGTCATCGTCGATCACACGGCCTCACGCCAGCCTAGCACCACAGACTCACCGGAGTTGAATGAGACTACGCCACGGCCGTCTGATCACCAATCAACGGAAATGCAATGATCATCCCTCACGACGCGACCCTTACAGATACATTTTTTTCGAAGCTAGTAGGTCAGCATAAGTTGTTTCATAATCTAATCAGTTTGAACTCGGTAGGCCAGCGTATCAATTCATTATCAATCTAGTGTTAATTCCAAGTTTGTCAATTGATTCTCAATCCTTACAAGTGCTATTCGAGATAAATCGACGGTCATCGTAGGATTGTCACATTCATGGGATATACTCATCATTCGGATACGGTTTGTCATGAAGGCGGCCCAGAAGTCGTAACGTGTTCAGTTACATTCGGATAGGGAGAGTCAACATTGTAAACATCAAACATTATTCTGCTCCTTCGGCAGCTCAGCGCCAGAACAAGAACGCTGTGAGTCTGAATCGCCTTCCGGTTCGTTATTAAATCAGCATTGAGCCGTTTCGTGACTCGTGTTTATATATAACCGACACATCTGAATCACCATTTCAATCGTTATAAATTTATCGCTGTTCGTAACCTGTCAATCAATTACTCCTTCTGTCCTAGCATTATCAGTACCTACTGATACTGATGCTAGCTCCCCCGTCGAGGTATATCAAAGATTAACGTAGAAATGTTACGGTTGTTAAATTGATGCATCATTTGAGGCAATTGATCATAAACATCAAGCGAGTTACTGTTCAATGTGACGTGACTATGTCAAAATGTCACCCTGCTTGTACACAACTAGAGTTGGTCACGGAGGGAAGCCAGAAATTACCGCAGCTCATCGTCATTTATGTAGGATGAAGAATTTGTTTTGTTCAGGTCAGATTGTCACCAGGCCACCATACTGAACGAGATGCAGACCCTAATTAACTGATGTTGGACCTGTGAGCTTTTCTTTAAACTGAGCGATTGTAGTCCAAACGAAATGGAAATGTATGACCCTTGACCTTAAACATGACCTTAAACACTTAACAGGTCAATAGACGCACCGACGACAGCACCACTAGCGCCACCTACAAGATCCAATGCCTTCAGTGCAGACTCCGACAGTGCTCACTGCTCAGCTGCAGCTGACAGTACTAACAGTGCCACCTAGCATGGAATACGCCACACTGGTTCCCAAAACTGCCATGAGAGGTCGCCACATAACCCTGAATCTGACGCGTATGCGAGTATGCGTAGGAGAGACAGACTGGCAAGGATAGAAAGAGTAAGTGAGTGATGAGTGAATGAGTGGACGCGTGCGGGAGTGGATGAGTAAATTGGGGCGTGAGTTGGTATGTATGTGAGAAAGAGAGCAAGATGTCGAAGTTTCTAAATCAGTAGTTATAAAGATCGATCTCATACATAAAATATTTTGGTACAACTTCGACAATCCAGACCAACCCGTGACTCCCTACCGCCACCTAGCTAACGTAACCTTGACGACATCCGCTAGGAGTCGCCAAAATCACCGATGAGTCAGAATGGGCGCCGATCAGATCTGAAGCAGGGTCAGGTCGCCGCAGAGCTTTCATTACAATCAATTAAAGGCCGGTTATCACCTGTCCCTTTGTGTTTGCTTAATTTACAAATATTGTACAATTTCGATAAATCCCGTTTGCCTAAAAGACTCAACGATATGGTTCAATCTTAAGACCTGCGACAGTGAGTTAGAACAGATAATCGAGAGTGAGAGTGAGACAAGACAGAGACAGAGACAGAGACAGAGACAGAGACAGAGAGAGAGAGAGAGAGAGAGAGAGAGAGAGAGAGAGAGAGAGAGAGAGAGAGAGAGAGAGAGAGAGAGAGAGAGAGAGAGAGAGAGAGTGGGCGAGTGAGTGAGTGAGATATCCAGGTGTAATACTTCATTTATATCTGTAGGCAAAAGCGACCTTCATGCTAATTTAAACCAGAGAAGACAATGACGCGAATGCTTTGGATCTCACAAATGCGACCTGGTCCCCCCGCCGCTGGATCGGAGAAAGCACGGGCCCATGAAGTCCTCAGCTCAGCTGAACCGCGGGCAGTACACGAATATGGACCTGCTGAGAGAAACAATTAGTATGTTAAGATAGCTGGACGAACACCTAATTTAACTATTGACCCATCCTGACTTCAGTGAAAAATGACGGACACAATTGCGGGTGGTTAAAGGGGAGAAAGAGGGAGCAGAGTCACATACGATCAAATTTTAGAAAATTTTGGTGAACAACCCTATAACCCTAGTCTAATTCAGGGAGAAACTGGTTACCTATGTCAGTCGAAATCAAACTCTGCATTGCAAGGCATGCCACCAAATCAGATTAGCAGACAATTATAGGCTAAAGGCAGGAATGGATAATTAATTGTGTTATGATTGAGCGTGTATCACTAAAACTTAGAAATTAAAAGAAAGAAAGGACCATGGCTGAGTCAGATGGTGTTAGATTCAATTGAACAGTACCAGGGACTTATGAGGAAATAGCACCAACCCCAGTCACCTTTCTAGTGTCATTCCCTAACGAACAGGTACTACAATATGTCCAAGGTCATTGCCACCCAAGCTAGGAGGACATTCATCTCATGTCATGCGTGGTGTGAAAAGCTACTGACAACTATACTTACAAAGTTTTGGAGGGACACGCTGAAATTAATGAATTCAGATGGTAAATCAGTAGCATGCATCAATTCGAGTCAGATTATTCCCAGTAACATCCAAGGTTATTTGATCCCTTTCTATTGACATGATCTATTGAACATGGAATTTCAATGTCAATGATCATTGACCTCTCAAGTCACAACTGATCTCATATCTGGCCTTGGATGCTAGCACAACAGTTTCAGACCAGTGCAGTTTCACTTAACATCCTGGAATTGAAAATTTATAAGGCATCATTGAACATGACAAACTTTGTCAGGTGACGGAACAGATACAACGATGATTACACCAGTCTAGTCTTAACCGAGCCATCAATTTAGTTTGAAATTAGCACCATTCTCCATTGGACAGTTCCCATTAGCTTGTTAAAGTTACTGCTCTTGCCCTTTTTTTAATTTAGTCTGAATGGGTGAATGGGCAGAGTTGAGAAATCAGAGCTCGCACTAAGCATAGCTTGTTGTGCTGAACTCGGCCTGCCAACCGACCGCGCAATTCCAGTTGCATAGCATAAAATTGTCAGAAAGTTTAACATGTCCTCATGACTGGAAGTG